TCGCCCTCGCTGTGGACCACGGCCACCGTGTCCGTGGAGGTGGCCGACGTGAACGACAACGCGCCGGTGTTCGCGCAGGCCGAGTACACGGTGTTCGTGAAGGAGAACAACCCTCCGGGCTCCCCCATCTTGACGGTGTGCGCGCGCGACGCGGACGCGCAGGAGAACGCTCGCGTGTCCTACTCGCTGGTGGAGCGGCGGGTGGGCGAGCGCGCGCTGTCGAGCTACGTGTCTGTGCACGCGGAGAGCGGCAAGGTGTTCGCGCTGCAGCCGCTGGACCACGAGGAGCTGGAGCTGCTGCGGTTCCAGGTGAGCGCGCGGGACTCTGGTGCGCCTCCCCTGGGCAGCACGGTGACTGTGCAGGTGTTCGTGCTGGATGAGAATGACAACGCGCCCGTGCTGCTTCCACCTTGAGGGGTCAGAAAAACTATAAGGTGTTGGAATTAGTGCCAGTGTCAGTGCGCCCGGGCCATATATTGACGAAAGTTTGGGCGGTGGACTTTGACTCTGGCTGTAACACGTGGCTGTCTTATGAACTCTTATCCGGGCCTGCCATTGTGTGCAGCCCGTTCCGCGTGGGGCTGTACACGGGCGAGATCGGCAAGACACACGCTGTGGACAAAGGTGGACAGTCCGGGCCAGTTCCCGCTGGTGCTTGTGAGGGACCATGGGGAGCCGGCACTGAAGGCCATGGCCACCCTGCTGGTGTCTCTGGTGGAGAGTAGCAAAGTGGCTAATGCTTTATCTGTAGCGTCCATGAGCACCGTGGGTGGGAAGATGACACTACTGGGTGTGAACGTGTATCTAATCATTGCTATTGGTGTGGTGTCCAGCCTGTTGGTGCTCATGCTGTTGCTGTACACAGTGCTTCAATGCTCTGCGGCACCCACCAAGGAAGGGAGCATGCCAGCGAAGTGCATGCTGCTGTGCTGGAGCGGTGGGTGCTAGCAACAGAGACGGCAGAGGATGTGCTCTGGGGAGGGTCTGCCTCATGGCCTTCTGACCCAATCTTTTGCAAATTTGAGAGGATTGCTTATCTTCTCCGTGTGAAGTAATTGATATAATTTAAGGGTATTTTTTTTCTCTTAGTAACTTGCTTTTAGGTAATAGTCATGTCCTATTGTTAATTTTCTTTGTAATCTTTATAATGGTATACTTTATAACATCTCTTCTCTGTTTTAGTCGTTCTCATTTTGAATTTTATGTATTACCCAACACGGATGAATTAGGTAGATATAATGGAGATCATAGATCACAGTTTAAAATTCTTTTTGATTTTATCTATGAATGATTGGCCTTGAAGAATAGTATGTTACTTCAAAAACAATTTAGGTGTTTGTTAACTCAAATTAAAAAATGTGATCATAGTTTCAGGATTACAGGCAAATTACAAGGATGGTTAAAAAAATATCTAGGTACCTTTAGCTAGATTCATTGTTTCTCGTGTGCTGGGGCTATTAAAATAGCCTCCTTAAACTGGGTGTGGTGGTGCACACCTGTAATCCCAGCACTTGGGAGGCTGCGGCAGGAGGATCTCTGTGAGTTTGAGACCAGCCTGGGCTACATAGTGAGTTCCAGGTCAGTCT